TACACTCAAGATGTGAATGCCCATGTGACTTCACTGCAGTTCTGTTGAGGTTTGCAAGCGTTTGCAAGGGCGATACAGTTGGTACTCGGGTTCTAACGCACACTTTGTGTGTATTTCATGAGCAGTTGCTATGGGCAGGGTCTCTGCTTGCTCTTCCATTGACTGAGTGCCCACTTGCTACTGATGACCCATGAAGTGCAGCTCTTGATTTAGTTTCATTTGAAGGGAATTCAACTTTTCACATCCTGTTACATTCCGCAACAAAAAACGGAGGAAAAAAGTAAGTGGGTGTGACTGGGAGATTCACTTCAGAAGTATAAAGCATACTCCAGAGTTTAGTACAAGACAGTTGGTAGCACCATTTGACAGCTGTCATGGCTTTGATAGAACTGTGTGCTGGATCACACTGAAATCATTAGGCTGTATCTGCTATTTTCAACAAAAATTGAATCAGGTCGTGTAGACAAAGGAGGGCTTATATCTTTACTATGGTTCTCCCTCTTCATTTCAGCTGGTATCCATAATAATTAGTAAACTAATTGTATTGAAGAATATAAGGACAAGTGTATGCCAGGCTATGTAACTCTTGCCATCTCTGCAATATAAATCTTCCTACATACATGCTGCCTCCAAATGTCTTCAGTAATTAAGAGAAAAAAGCTAAAAAAAGAAATACACGTGTACAATATAACATTAGAGGCAATTGAGACCAGCCACCATCTTGATGCTTCTGCTGTTGCCACTATTTTTTGTTCAATGTATCAGGTGACTGTTTAAATTTATAAAACATTATCTGAAGAAAATAAATCCTGTTGTAATTGATAGGCCTAGTTATATCTTTTTCATATTGAACTGAATATATGATTATATTTTCAGCTGTGATTCAAAACTGAAAACTGAAGAATGAAAATAAGGGATAAAATACTAATACAGAAGTACTACTTAAATGTCTTCAATGGAATTTTCTTGGTAAAAATTCTGTTATCTTTTTCTTATTTAGCAGCTTCAAATTAATTTTTTAAAAATGTTTTGAATTAAAACAATGATCCTCCTTTTTTCCCAGGCTCTGGGTCTTATGCTTTTGACATTTGGCCTGTGGCTTTTCTTTGACAGAAACAATTTATTCAGTGTGTTATGTGAGTATAAATAGAATTTTTCTTTTGTTTCAAATGATTGCAAGAAAAATCGATAGAAACTGCTATAGAATTTTCTTTCACAAGGTGGCAGTATTGGATTGAAATGCGTAGGTTATTTTTTTTCTGTTGTCTATTTTCCATCATTAGACAGTATGATTATCAAAATAGGGGAAGTTATATATCAGTATATCTACAATTTATATATGATTATAATTTATACAATTTATTTATTTCTCTTGGTGTACAGCATATAGATAAATCACTGAAATATAAATCAGCTCTGTTGATCTTTTCTTTATATAATTTACCAGACTGCATTTGGCGTGCATTTGACAAGATTATAGATCCTTTAGGTGGATATTTGGGTGGAATGAACACAAGTTGGAGCTTGGGCCTCTCCATATAGATATTCCTTTTTCCCGGAGTGTCTATCAAATTGTTTCACAGAGAAGTAAGTTTTGGGTCACATAATAACATCTGTGCTCTTAAAGAGTTGTCTGCCTTGGCTGCACAAAGTTCCTGACTGGTCGGATGGGAATCATCCAATACAGTAACTCTGGGATGAAGCATTTGAGATGGAAGTAATGAAAACCCCTGCTACTTTCTGTATCTACGCAAAAATGGTTAAAGTGGAAAGGGGAAAGTGGCCAGTCACAAAGAGGAAGGATAGCATAGAAACTGAGTCTGGATTTAATGAGAACTGTATCTATGTCCACGTAGGATTTGTACATGTGCTACTAATTTTTGGCAAACAAAAATTCTGTAAACTTGTAATTGTTCTCTGATTTCATTGTGAGTGGTTCACATTGTTCAATTGAGTATGTTCTGTTTACATCTCATATGTTGTTACCATCCTCTGAATTTATGAAAATATATCTTTTTCTTTCTGTGACTGTAGATAGCATAAGTAATAATACTACCCTTTTATCATTCTACTATTTCCATCCTTTCAGTAATGGCATTGCAAAAGTTTAATTGTTTTTCTGGAATAAGTTTTGTAAGTGGAAGTCTCAAAAAAAAAAAGAGAAGTGACAGTATGAATGCATTGTGTTACAGTTTCTTCAGGTGAGAACCAGCTAGTGGCATATATTTCTTGTATGTTACTTGGAATTGGATCTGTTATTACTTTTACATCAGCCGTGGGATTCCTTGGAAGTGTTAAGGAAATCAAATGTCTACTAGTTACAGTAAGTGTAAATCAGACTCCAACTTTCTGGTAAAATGAAAAGGAGTTTTGTGTGCATGAAAACTGTGATCCTGTCTTGATGTTGTGATTTCCACATACAGTGCTCAACAAATCTGCTGATAGAAAGATATTTTTAGATAAAGTCCTGGCTCAAATGAAATCTGCACAAAACTGAAGATCCTTCCATATTACTGCATGAATGTTTTCAATGACAAAACACGTGCAGTTTGGTGCAGCAAAGATTTTAACCACTGTATTTATTAACTTAGAGGTTTTAAGATTAATTTAGTATTGAAATTTTGCAGAGTAACTATCTCGGTATGTGCTTACATGCTTAGTATGTGCTGAAGAAATAAAGAAAAGCCTGCCACAAAATATTGCAGGTTGAAGGCACAAGTATTGAAAAGGCAAGTATGATTAAAAAGCTCTTCCCTATGTAGACCTACCTGGATACTCCATATTTATATACGATTCCTGCTTTTTAAGGGAAGATCACTTTGATTTCGGAAAAATTACACTGTAACTATACATTCTTATGATCACTTTGATTACATTTTTTCCTTTGTCTTTTGTTTATTGTCACCCTTTTTGAGCGATCTGTTTTAGACTATGTGAAGGTCGAAGCAGAGAACTGTTCTACTGATTCATTTGTTAAGCACTACAAATATCAACTGGCACAGCAGTGAGAGGAGCCCAGGTGCTATAACCAGGAATCTTGTTCGTTCTTCCTTCCTGCTACTGCCCTAGGCTTGTAGTGTTTGCCTCACAATTTATTAGATGATGAAAGAGGAGGAAGTGTCTCATTTCCAACTTCCATGGAAGTACCTAATATCACAGTATCTAGGTACTGTGGGTGAAAATTTGGTGTCACTGAAAATGAACAAAATCAACTATCTTTTTGTTTTGTTTGTGCATCTTACAGCTCAAAGGAGTCCTTGACTAGGCATGAGACTTAGGTATCATGATAATTCAAACAGGAAATAATGAAATAAGAGTTTTCTTCAGTGGAGCACAGCTGCTTAACAGCAGCTTTTGCTCTTCACTTCCAAGAAAGTTATGGCTTTGTCTTTAAGCCTAAAACAGTGAGTTGTGCTTTGCTTGAAGCCTGCCTCTTAGACTATGATGTCACTTTCTGAGGTTTTCCAGGAAAAAATATTTCTTATTTTTGTTGGAAGAACTCTAAATAATAGTCATGAAGGACTATAAATGAGCTTCTGGAATTTTTTATTGCATCGCTCACTTGTTCAATATTATGTTTATACATAATTTGGGTTTCTTTTTCAGTATATGAGTGTTCAGATCCTGGTGTTTGTTACCCAGATGGCAATATCAGTGCTGATATTTGTGAAGAAAGAAGAGGTATGTAAATAAATTATGTGAGACTGCTGATAATTTCAAAATAGCTTCTTGCAATTAATTAAAAAAATTCTAATAGTCAGTTCTCACTGTATGCTATATCACCATTTGTTTGAACTTGAGTATTCTACACGTCAACCAGGCATAGAAGAAGGTGTGGAAAAGTTAATTTGAGGAATTCAGTGTGGTTCAATAGTTGTAAAAGAGAGTGCATGGAAATATATTTCCAGTTTCTCCTCTGCAACAAAACATACTCTTCCTGTTCAGGAATGTGGAATCAACAGTGTAAGGGACAGCTTTATTCCTTTTTGAGGGATGACCCAGAAAGTCCCTCTTTCCGGGACATCAGCAGGAGAAAGCATTAGATGTTAACCTGTGTCTGCTAGCAGGTGATAACAGTAGTCCACTGTGCAATTGATAGTAGGAGTCATTGGTATCATGGCATGCAAAGTATGCTAATGAATTACTAATTTTATTGTTTGAGCCTGTATCTTAGGTCCAAGTAGAGATCTAATACAAGGAATATGTGTCTTTGCTTTTAACAACAGGAAGCAACAATAAATACCAACATAGCTGTTGTCGCTAGTAACGGTACTGCTTTGAAACTTTATTCAGTCATTTATTTTTCTACATATAGCAACTCCAATAGCTTGAGCACTCCTCACATTATTATATGGAAGGTAATCTGTACTGAATCCATACTGGTCTGGCTGCCTCCCTATATTCCATAATTCCAAAATCCATGGTTTGAGAAAACCTCCCATGACACTGCTCTCATAAGGTTCATACAGTTCTCCAAATCCTGCTGCTATTCAGGCAGAGTACACCACAAATAAATTAGTTTTACTCCATCAAACTGAATCTGTATCATCAAGATTTCTTCATGAAATGTTAATTTATAATGATGGAGTCCTCCCTGTTTTATATGATGGTTTTACATATTGAAAGATTTGAACTGTCAGGAATGATGCATTCTGGAGTCAGCTATTTGTGCTAGGAAAATTGGTTGAAAGATAGCAGTTAAATTTATATCAACTGTAATTGCACTTGATCTCAACCTTAATTAATTGTTGCTGAAGTATAATAAATGATAGTAACATCATCATTCACTGTGCAAGCTTTTGAATTTTGTTTTTAGGATGGCTGTAGCAAGGGGAGTGAGTTGGAGAAGCCTCATTTTTTTCTTGTTTTGTAATGAAACCTTTCAACGGCCTAGGAGTTCTCCTCTGCATATATTCCCTGCTACACTCTCTATAATCGCCCTCTTTGTGATCAGCTTGTCCACTTCAATTACTGTTGAAGGTGTATTTTAACAGTCTCTGCAAACATGCCTAATCTAGGTCCAACATGAGCTGCTAACTCCCCTAGCCCAAAGCAGTACATGTCCTGGCCAGGCTGTATGGTGCTCACACAAGTTTGTATCACATTAGGTGTAGTATTATTATATGGTGCCGTGCTTATTAAAAATGTGAGGTAGGGTTTAGTATTTCACAACAGATCAGGTGCATCTAAACTATGTTCCCTGGCTCTTCTGACTCTGTTTGGGCTAATCACATTGTGTCTGCCTGTGCTATGTATGTGGTTTGGGGCATTTCATTTATCTTCCCCTTTTGCTTTCAACTTTCCCATTAGTGCAATGGCTATGACATGTCTTAGATCATATTTGGCAAATGGATTAGAATGCTGCTGCTTGCAAGTAACCCTTCAAGAAACCTGAATATCAATAAAAGATCAAGGATTGTACTATCCATCCACACTCTTATCAATATGCATATACAAAATGCTATTAATATTTATGAACAGGTCCACAATCAATGGAACAACAGAATTGATGAAGTTATTTCTGAATATGGGAACGAGAGTCTGGCTGAGCAGGAACCTGTGTGGAACATTCTGAATGCTGTGCAGCACAATGTAAGAAAAAACACCCACAAAATATCATCACCAAAAATACTGCCTCAACCAAAAAATGTTTATACTAATCAGAACTTAGTTTAAAAAAACAACTCCTTTAGTAAAGGATTAATTTTTCAAGATCCGCTGCTAATATCTGTTGTGGGTGGGCAGATTACTTGCCCGCCCATTACTTATAATGTTATATGGATTATTATGTATAAGATTAGGCTTTTGAAGGACTTGTCAATGTATGTAGGAGCAGACAGTTGTGGTCATTGAAGTTTTTTGCAGCTGAAAAAACTGATGGGTTTCCTAATATCTTCGGCAGTGCTAGGCATCATAAAACACTTGGTCTGCTCAGGGCTCAAGACTGATCTGAACCATGGACAAGCAGAGATGCTATGAGGTCAAAGCAGAGCTCCTACTGTGAGAGCATTTGAATAAGTATTGCACTGAGACTCTCAGAAATAATGCTTAAAGCCTCAAATGAGCTTGCAAGTCAATACTTTCAGCACGCATACTTAATTTTTAATCATAATTTTTGTGGCCTGGCAGCATGTAATTTGTTTCCTTTTTCAGAAAAGTCCTTTAAAGCATTTGTATGGGATCAATTATTTTGGAAGTTGTTAGCAATGTTTTTGACCAGTGGCCCTTCAAATTAATTCTGCGTCATGAGCTTTTAATTACAAACACTACTGCTTAACAGTTTAGTATGGTTTAATATGCTTCTGTAGACCAGCTGTGAGACCCTTAGTATGACTTCTTGCAGAGGTGAATTCTATAGTTCTTGACAAACGTTGAAGATAATTTATGATTCCAGATAACTCCAAAGCATGTATGTCTAGACTCAAGATTACAAATGCATTTGTAATGTATATTTAAAATCTGTTCTTGAAAATCCAGTCTTCTCTCATTGCATTCGTGATTTCTCTAGTGATTAATGGTGACCTCATTATGTCAATGGTGCGGCTAGACTATGTGCTGGCATACTTGAGCGCAGTTTCATTGAACTGTTGTGGGAGCACAGATTTCAGCAAAGTTACCTACCCACAACCTACTCTGGTGGGCATGTTTAAATTGTGGCATATCTGAGAGTCCTGTGGATATTTTGCTGTTGGTACCTAAGCCAGATAAAATGATGTTAAATCTGCCAGGGTAAACTGTAATCACACTTTTGAATGAAAACTGCCATCCCCAAGTCTTGTGTTACATGCTTCCAGCTCTTTTCAATATCATCGGCATCTGCCATGAGAAAAATAAAAAGCCTAAGATCATGAATAGTATTAGAGAAGAACTAGATTTTTATATATTCGTGGTAAAATTTAGTGTACTGCTTAAAGCTGGTGATTTTTTTAACTGAACTTATAGGGTTGTTGAAATTGAATGTTTTTACGGAGAAAGGACAGTTTTGGCTAAATTATCTAATTTTTCAAAATTTAGAAGTGGCATATTTTGGATTGACTCTTCAAAACCAAAATGAGATGCTTTTGTTTAGCATCTCTAAGCCAAAATATGGCAGACTTTTGGCCCACAAAAAAAAACCCCAAACCTACAACAAAACCAACCATTTCTGAAGTTTCATCCTGATTCAGAATGAAAAACTGCTTGAATTTCCTTACATGACAAAGATTCCGTTCTCCAAGCTGTTTGATGGCTTGGTTTGGTTTTGTGTTACCGGTATTGAAATAGATTATTGGGAAGAGCTAGCTGACAATCTATTTAAACAGGGCACAGTATTTGCTTTGTGCTTTGAGTTTGAGCTATCTGTTCACAAGAGATCAATTGCTGCTAAAACACAAGTTGGAATAAGGAGACTTTCTAAAGATCTCTTACTAAGAGCGGGGAATTTTTGCAAATACGACATTAGAAGTAACAAAGGAATAACTAAAAAAGTTTTCAAAATCTCATCCTTATTTAAGTTCCTAGATCAGAGTAAAACAGTGTCTGTGTTTTTAATTTTATTTATTAAAATATGTTTTATAGAAACTGTCCCCATTTACTGCATTCATTATGAAACAACATTCATTATGTTGTTTCCAATAATGTATTGTTTTCTTTCTTCTTTTTTTGTGCTTCACAGTGAGCACATCCTTAATATAGCTTACTGCTTACACACAATTTCTACACTGAATTTACTTTGGAAGGTTAAGGGGGATAGTCAAAATGTTTTGCTTTAATTTGGGTTTGTAATTTTTTTTTTCTATTTACATGTGTTCTAGAATAATTTAGAGTCTAAAAGAAAGTTCCTTTTAAAAGTATATTTTAATATCATATCCTTCTTAAGCCTGTACTATCCAGTGCATATTGTGGGAAATTATACATACACAAGGGTGAAACATCCCCTGCAGAAACCTCTCTCTGCTGAATACAGAAGAAAACTATGTAATTCATAGTTACATAGGTAATTCAATCAACTAAATCAAATACCTAGCACTGGTTGGGGTGGAAATTCCTCTGTGTGACAGTCTTTACAGGTGTTGGAGTTACAAGTTACAGGATTTATATTCTAGATGGAATGCTGTGGAAGATACAATGTCACACAGTGGGAAAGGAATAAAAACAAGGAAAATCGTACTCAGATCCCATGTTCATGCATAAAATCTAGTCTGAAGAAATGGTTTTGTGATGTCCCGAGGGATTCAACATACAGTATGGTAAGAAATAAAAAACATGTCTCAAAGAATGTAACTTTTGCTACTAAATGGTCTTTGGAAAAAAATACAAAATGTGTTTTCCACCAAGACTTGGCTTACAAATGCCAGAGTATTAATAATATTCATTGTTTTGTCTTTGGTCACTCTGAAGTGACCTTTTACTCATTAGGTGTCAGTCATATAGGCAGTTCTAAATTAATGATATTTCAAGAAAACAGGAGTTGTGAATATCACAGATCAATATCACAGGGACAGTTAGTAGTGGTTTAAGAAGTAGTAAGCATCTTGGTATTCAAAAATCCATGCTGTGCAAATCAATGATGACAATGGAAAGTGACAGTATATAAAAAGTATACAGTACCTTTTCCACTAGTAATTACTATTCATTACTTACAGAATGTCAGCAACGTCTCCACCTGTTTCTATTATCTGTTGCCATAGCATCTTCAATACTTCACAGGATAAGAGGAATGAGCAAGGCATTGATACACGAGATGTGTTTCCTGAGACCAGTTCATGTTAGCATTTACTTGTCTTGATATCAAGTTTGCATAGGACCATCAGATATTATCAACCTGATAATAGAAAACTGGAGCAAAGTGATACATATTATGCTCTTCTATAAACCATCCAGTTTTAATAGGACTATCCAATGAGAACAAAAATTCAATGGGCAAAGGTTGTTTCTTGACAGTACAGGGCAATAAATAATAATAAGTATGTTGTCAAATAGCATCTGGTATAGTCTTCCTTCACTCATGGGTTTGGAATTGTTCCCTGTTTTTACAAACCCTTGTCATTATTAAAAGATCACTTCAAAATACAGAAAACATTTATTTATATGTTTTATTGTGTTTATAGCTATTTTAAGCTATGTAATAATTGATAATTTCTTTTCAAAAGCAATATAATAAGAATAATCTGTAATCTGGAAGATATGCACATCCATTTCAGGATGTGTAATGTATGAGAATCAGTGAAAACTTCAAAATATTCTTTCAAGCATTTACTTGTAAGGTAGTCTCTCAGTTATACTCACTCAAAAGCAAGTTCCCTTTTGATTAAGTCACAAGCTCTGGAACATTTCCATACAAAAATATCAGATTTACTTAAGAACAATCTGCTTAGTTCAGATAATTTTTACAATGTTGTAGCTAACTCTCCACAGTACACATTACTGATGTGTTTGTTTTCTGGCAAGTAAATATCAGAACCCATCATAACATGCAGAAAGTTCTATATATTTTAAAAGTATGTTGTTATAAAGATGCAATATGAATTCAAAAGTCGAAATGATTTTTCTTGAAATCTGTTCATCTGTACTTGCTTAGGGATGTGAAGAATATTTAAATACATGGTTTGAAAACAATGTTTTGATCTTAACTGCAATTACTATCAGCCTACTAATTACACAGGTAAGAGTACTTTTAAGCAAAAAATCACAAAATACTGATATTTTGCTGGGGTAAAAATCAATTCAGTGCCATTTGGTTTTGGCACGCTCTCCAAAATTTTGTAAAGCTTTCTATCAATTTTAGTTAGAAGATCAAGCAGTGTTGACCAACAAACTCCCATATATTCAAGCACCATCACAGATGTTGGTGTCTGAAGTTTCTTGAATGAAATATTTGACCTGACTTGTGAAAGCAAACAGCATTGCAAGGACAGGAAACAGGTAAAGAGAATGTAAAATCTGTGGAGCAAAAGACCTCCTTTGTTCTCTATTTGTACAGAAGCTAGTCCATGAATATGCTAAATGAAACAATACAAAATAACGAAACTGCTCCCCCCACATATCTATGAGAAAATTTTATTGGGTAAAATGGAATAAAGCTTTCAATATCAAAACAAAATTGTATGAATAGTGGCAACAAGAATTGGTTGTTCACTCCACAGACACCCTGAAGCTTGAGTACCATCAAGCAGGCAGCAGAATTTTTGATAATATCTAAAATCATGAGGTTGAAAATGAGATTAGTTCATTTTTACTCAGAGAATTAAAAGTACGACCTATTTTACCTCTTACATATGTAGTACCTTCCCATAGAGGTATGTAGTAAAAACATTCCAGCTGTGGAGTGTTGTAATGTAATGTATGTAATCCTCACTAGCAAAGTACACAAGTGTCTCATGATCTTCAATGTACTATCGTTGACACCTTCTTGTCCAGGTGGGAAGAGCTGTTATCCTCATTCAAGAGCTTAAGGACCAGATTCAGAGGGCACTGAAACACTTAACTGAATTGTGTGCCACCCAAAATCGATTTCAAGATACTTCTGTGGATGTGGGCCTGAGTGACTTGCTGGAGGTCACACAGCAAGCCTGCGGCAGAGCAGAGAATTCAGATGTGTCTTCAGGCCCATGTTGTGATCATTCTCCTTTATATCCTTCTATGTTGTCATTCAGAGGAGCCAGGTTAACAGTCAGATTGACTCTGTCATGAGTGAGTGTCAACACTTTCTTTGTTGTTTTTAACTCACCTTTTTTCCTTTCTCAGATATTTTTGATCACACTAACTGGTCAGCTATTTAGAAACATTAGAAAGAATAACATTTGGCCAAATGAATCATGAAGTCTTCTGAGCATTGCTGCGGTGCAAGAATCTGATCTGTGCCTGTGACAGTCAATGAAATTCCACTAAAATTTGGATCGGGCTCTACTTATGGTAATCACTAGGATATTCATGTTTGGGCTTTAATATGTTTGTTAATTGTTCATGGCTATGGATGTGGCAGTGTGCTACAAAATTATGTGTGTTAAAGTCTGAAGTACTATGCCATTTACTAGCTGGTTAATAAAACTTCCTGATAAGCTGAATACTAGTTTCCTGAATCTCCGGAACAACTTGTTCAGAGTGTTGTAAATAGTACCGTATAGTATACCGCACTTTGATACAGAATGAACCCTTTATCAGGTTCAGTCAAGAAACACATTTACTAAACCTTGCTGATACTTCTTTAGACCTTTACCTTTCCTTCCAGTCCTTCTCTGTTTTGTCCTTGTCTGTTGTGCAATTTAATCTCCAAAAATTTCACAAAGTCTTATAAATATTGGACTCTTATCAGCTCTTTTCCAAGAAGTGTTGTAGTAGACATCTTTCATTCTTGCTGAATGGTTCTTACCATTCATTTAATCAAATGGCTTCAGTGGTTTAGGTGGAGTAAGCTTGAAACCCTAAAACATTCTTTATCCTCTGAGCAGTGAGGTGACCTGAAATATCTTGAGGAAAGCAGAGGAAGGCGTGGTATTATCAGTGTAGGTGGTAGCATTGTTAATTATTTTTTGGCTAAAACTTCCCATTTCAGTAATCCATTTTCTGATGCTTATAAATTTGGTAACTTCTTTTTATTTAGTCTAAAAAATTCCCATTTCAAGTGCCTGCCACAGGCTGAATTTCTTATTTAGAGAACTTCAAATAAATGTATCAATTTAGAGATGAACGGCATGCTTGGAACAGAATCTGAATTCCAAACTTGTATTTTTTGTTCTGCCACCAGCAAAAATCTAAGGAACACAGCGATGAAGTCTCTCATCCCACACAAAGGTTTATCTGCATTAAGAATGGCAGATACCTGTTACCTTGATGTCTGTGACGTTTTAAGAGGTTTTAATCTTGTTATTGATGTAATTCAGTCTGAGAATACAATCTGAGGAGGATATTAAATAATAATAAATAAACAATAGGTTTTTCATTATTCATTTTGCAGTTTACAGAGTACTTCAGAAAATTAAGATCAAGAATCTGAATTTTAGTTCATAAATATAATTCTAAAATATAAAGATAATCTAACTTAACTGTAATAAACATTACGTTTAAAAATACCAACAATCTGGTAACATAACAGAAGCTACTTTTTCATTAGAAAGTAGATCCATTTCATTGAATAGGTCTGTGATACAGAGCAGGATATAACAACTATTTTTCACTTACTTTTTTCCATGCATCTAATATTCAACGTGGAAACTAAATACAGAATCGTAGAACCATACAGTAATATGGACATCTGGGGACTACATAGTCCAGTCCCTTGCTCAAAGCAGGTCTACTTAGATCAGGTTGTTCAAGGCCATGTCCAGGTGAGTGTTGAATATCTCCAGGGATGGAGATTCCACAATCTCTCTGGGCAACCTCTTCCAGTGTTTGACCACCCTCACAGTGAGAATCTTTTTCCTTACATATGACTGGAACTTCTCATGTCACAGCTTGTACCCTTTGCCTCTTGAACTACCACTGTGCACCTCTGAGAAGAGTTGGCTCCACCTTTTCCACTCCTTCTCAATATGTAGTTGAAGCCAGCATTAAGATCTCCCCTTAAGCTTCTCTCTTCCAAGCAGAGCAAACCCAGTTCTCTCAGCGTCTCCTCCTGTGTCATGTGCTCTGGACTGCTAACTATTTTGGGGTTCCTCTGCTGGAACTGCTGCAGTATGCCAATGTCTTTCTAGTACTGGGGAGCACAGGACTTGATGCAGTGCTTGAGATATGGTCTCACTAGAGAAGAACAATCATTTCCCTCAGCCTGCTGACTGCACACCTGCTAATATAGCCCAGGATGTAGCTGGCCTCCTCTGCTGTGATGGCACACTGGTGACTCATGTTCAATTTGTTTTCTAGCAGGAGCCCTATGTACCGTCTGCAAATGTGCATTATCCCCATTTGGCCCCCTGTCCTGGTTTCGGCAGGGATAGAGGTAATTTTCTTCCTAGTAGCTGGTACAGTGCTGTGTTTTGGATTTAGGGTGAGAACAATGTTGATAAGGCACCGATGTTTCAGTTGTTGCTAGGTAATGCTTACACTAGCCAAGGACTTTTCAGCTTCCTGTGCTCTGCCGACTAAGAAGGCTGGAGGTGCACAAGAAGCTGGGAGGGGGCACAGCCAGGACAGCTGACCCAAACTGGCCAAAGGGATATTCCATACCATGTGATGTCATGCTCAGCATATTAAGCTGGGACAAGAAGAAGGAGTGGGGGGGGACGTTTGGAGTGATGGCGTTTGTCTTCCCAAGTAACCGTTACACGTGATGGAGCCCTGCTTTCCTGGA